TCCACGGGGCTCTTAACCATATTTTGCCGTCTCATGGCTCTGAAAACGCGCAGCTCTCCTTCCGAACATTTAGTTTCCATGGTAACTTGAAGTCTTCAGTTGTATTTCAGGTATAGTCGTACATTAAGTTAGTTAGTTAGTTAGTTACTGGAGAGGGTGGGTTTCCCCATGCACCGCGACCAGTTTGATCTATTGTGCTTCCCTCTATGATATTCTACCAGTCTCTATACCCTACCGATACTGGGGCTTACCATCAGTCCCGACCGAGCCAGCGAGTTCGGCCTCTACTGGCTTGGTGGTATCTATAATGCTTCCCCCATCTATCAGAGGCATTAGAGACTACTGTTGGGCGGGAAACGTCCTTGAATTTGGCTCAGTGACCTCCTTAGGAGATATGAGGTTCTTTTACGTGCCGTAAAGCTACGACACGGGACCCACGGCTTAAAGTCCCTCCCGGAGGACTTGTTCCCTGAATTTTTCCGCCCTTAAAAATTCCACGACCTCCGCCGGGTTTGAACCCGCGTACCACGAGTCATGAGGTGGGAACGTTACCTCTAGACTACGGATGGTGCTCTACTCATATATTAAGTTAGCACGTTTCTCGTTCTGTTTCCGTGGTAACAACTCTCAGCTGATATCGCTATCCGACTCGGTCTTTAGTTCCTTGGCAATTCAAAGTTTCCACTGTCAATGTCACATGCATACGAGTACATATTGTACATGTATCTCAAGCAAACTGCCTGCGCGCGCTGTTGTGTGCGTGTCTGGAGGAGAGGGCCAGTCAGCGAGTCCCCGCTTGAGGTATCCCCTAGCAAAGGAAGTGACCAGCAATAGCAACCGGATCCTTCCTCTCATCGAAGATGAGGCCCCATTTCAAAACACTTAAAAGTCTTGGAAAGAACAAACATATGGTCATGGGTCCCGATAGGGCCCGGAACCAAGACTGTGCTGGTGAGGACCAACAGCAATTTACCCGACCAACCAAAGCGAACTGCCTACACTTCGCGACTTTATAAACACGCTGTTTGTTATAGCCAGGCAGTCTGACATTTTAGGGCCGGGTACACAGATTTTCGAAACGAATAAAACCAGGCAGCCTATGGATGTGGTCGATACACAACAGAGACAGCAGCCTGCATCCGAATTATGCGTCTGTTTGTGCCATTGGTTAATTGGCAGACGCGGAAAATGACGGGATCCCAAAGGGACACAGGTTTTATCATGGACATTAACAGAGATTTAATAACGTTGTGGAACTGAATTCAATGACGACGGTCATTAATACGACGCGCCATCTTGACTGACTCATTAATTACTGTTGTAATTGGAACCAAATTCTGATGACAGATAACATTGGGGTGAGAGGAGGGGGAGTGGACAGAGTCGGTCAAACAGGCAGCCGTGTTAACACACAAACAAAACACTGACTCAGAAGATACATGGGAAGAAAGAAAAGGAAGTAAAAAAGAAAGAAGCCCGATAAATGAAAGGACCAAAGTAAAGACGCTGAAGTTGTCCCTGTCCTTAACTAATTAAGCACTGCGCCATGAAGGCGTAGATCCACATTTCTTGACCTCGGCACTAGTTGGAGGTGAGGGGTGAGCTTCACGCCCCAGCCGCTTTACCTCCGGCATCCATCGGATAAGGGGCTGGGTGCACCCCAGAGACGATTTGGACGAAATGCAGAAGAGAAAACTCTTGACCCTGCCGGGACTCGAACACCGACCCCTCGATCTTCCAACCCGTAGCCAGTCGCTATACCGATTGCACTATCCTGGCTCCTGAAAGGACGATGGTAAAGATGAAAAAATCAAAGGGCGAAAAAATGTGAACGAAAGACGAACGTCAAATAGCAGCTAATCGACGTTTCGGCGGGGCAAAGTGCTCTGATCTTTACTTCTTAGGGTTGCTTGCTTCACTTATTCTTTGATCCTAAAAATGGAGGATACATGTTAATCCGAAATGTTAGTAAACTTCTACCAGATCACACGGCGTCAAAACCAAGACAACAGTAGGTCTACCCTTCATATTCACCGCCGTGTGAACCTCAACTTTCAACATTCCTTAGCGATGTCTCTGCAAATGGAAATTCCCGTAAGCAAGATGGGCATACATACAAGGCTTCCGGTTCGGTCGCGTTTCAACAGGAAATAGCGATCTCCGAATTATATGCTGCCTTGAAGCGTTGCACACAAGCGTTTATATTTAGGCCATGATCAGTGCCACGTTCCGAGAATGTCTGCAGGTAAAAAAGTTGCCTGGCAACTTCGGCTAACAGCGAAACCAGATGCTGTAACGGCACCAATATCTGCTTCGCTATTGTTTTAAAGGACACAGCTCTCTTTCATGTTCCATACGGAGCAACAGTTGAAACTCTGAAGCACAAAGTTCGCTTAAATATATATGAATTCAGTTCGTACCTCACAGGAAACATTCATTAAATAACCGTCATTATTATACGTAAACTATACACATACCGTGTTTGTAATGTGCAGAAAATTCTTTAATATTAAAGCACGTGGCATATCATGGTCCCTGATTTCATTGAAGGCCGCGGTACAAGAGCCGAATTTCAGGGCCCACACGTTATACATACATACATGGCCCTTATGGCGTCGTTAAATAAACCATTTATACATATACAAATAAAGAAAATAAATATATATCGGTGTAAAAAATGAAAAATTTAAATAAATTTTTTATCCCATTTGCTTAACTGCGTATAAGTTTTCTATTAGTTAACGACAGTACGGTGTCGGCTTGACTCCCTAGATGAGGGATCAGCCCATCCCCCCCCCCAGGCGGTCTCTACCTAATGACGACACAGATATATTCCTGCGGAGAAAGAGAGAAGGAATGAAAGAAAAGAAAATAATATGTTCTCGGATGTGACATCGTGTAGTTCAGTGTAAGTTCGCTGATGTTTCGAGAAACACACTGCCTCCATTTTCAGGGTTGAAGAGTAAGCCAAACAAACGGTTAAGTATCCTTCTTCCGAAAGGTCGATGGACGCCCCGTGTTTTCTGTTTCTTTCCGGGTTCTAATTTCGCCCCTGATACCAAATACACAGATATTTCTCGTGGGTTACCTCAGTCCCTCCAGGCTCCGGGATAGTGTCTCAAATTCGGCCACGACCGCTTCCTTCCATATCCTATCCAATTCATTATTCACTAACCACTTCACCCATCCATCCTACGCAATCCGAGCTACTGGCATCGTCGTCAAACAAGCCATAAACACGTGACTCAATGGAGTACAGTCCTTGAGAAGCTAACACTCAGCTTGCCGAAAAATCCCCAGGATTTTATGGAACTCGAAGGTTCATTACTGAATTCTCTACAGCCGCCACTGGTTCCTATCCTGAGCCAGCTGAACCCAGTACACATCATCCCATTCTATTTCCATAACGCCATTTAAACATCTTACCATCTACACCTACGTCTTCCAAGTGGTCATTTTCTTTCAGTTTCTCCCATCATAACTTCTCTTCACAACTCATCCTCTTTGGCTTGATAACCCTGTATGTGGCAAGGAGTAACAACTACGAAACCCCTCTTTGTGCAGTTTTCTTCATACTCGCGTCACTTCATCCCTCTTGGGTCCAAATATTACCCTCTGCACCCTGTTCTCAAAGATCTTCAATCTGTGTTCTATGTTTAATATGCCAGACTAGTTAGTTAGTTAGTTAGTTAGTTATTGGAGAGGGTGGGTTTCCCCATGCACTTAGACCAGTATTGGTCCATTGTGCTTCCCTCTATGATATTCTACCAGGCTCTATACCCTACCGATACTGGTGCTTACCATCAGTCTCGACCAAGCCAGCGAGTTCGGCCTCTACTGGCTTAGCGGTATCTATAATGCTTCCCCCACCTATCAGAGGCGTTAGAGACTACTGTTGGGCGGGAAATGTCCTTGAATTTGGCTCAGTTACCTCCTTAGGAGATATGAGGTTCTTTTACGTGCCGTAAAGCTACGACACGGGACCCACGGCTTAAAGTCCCTCCTCCCGCCCTTAAAAATTCCACGACCTCCGCCGGGTTTGAACCCGCGTACTACGAGTCATGAGGTGGGAACGTTACCTCTAGACTACGGAGGCCGCTTATATGCCAGACTAAGTTTAACAACCATAAACCGATCAGGCAAAATTATTGTTTTGTGTATATTTACGTTTCGAGACAGAAGAGGCAAGCTCAGCTCGCGTCATGCATGTCGCTTGTTGGCGCACTACCACAAGGCGGTACTCCTCACAGTTACCTTTGAAAGAAGCTCAAATCAAACAAATGATTTTACCTATACATAATCGACCTTCCCTGTGCATTCTGTGTTTATACACATATATATTGTGACATGTAGGCCCGTTGCCTGTGTAAACAGGCTACAGTAAAACAGTCATTGCTAGGGAACGGCTCTTTGGACGTCTTCGCGGCAACAAGAGAACACGCAATACTTGAGACCTTTTCTGTGTGATACGCGCCGATGCTATACAACGAGGACTAGCTGAGGCAGTGAATAGTTCGGAAACACAGAGGAAGGGGAAGGTCCGCCGTTAGAATGTTGGAATCCACTACAAAGCAACGGCTAGTGAAGACTGATAAGACTTTATGTGTGCTGTGGTTACAGTGAGTTTTGGAGTGAGTAAATCTGTGAGGCTGTCGTTGTTATTTGTAGTTACGAGTTGTTTAAGCGTATAATAAACTTGATTATCAATCCAAACCCCGTCTAGTCACTTAATCACATGGCTATACATAGCGTGCGCTGGCCATTTCATGCCGACCGCACTGGATCAGGGGAGGTGGACTCTTTCAGGATACGAACATGGTTTCCCCTTGATATGTCGCAACGTGAGCCATCCACACAGATATCTTTATGTTAAACATAATGTTTCCGTCACCTCATCACGAACATACCACTGCAACTTGCTCACGGGCAGGAGAGCATCCCCTGCCCACACAGAGCGCCCCATTCCACGAGGCAATACAGCGTGTTCCCAAAACACATACCTGCTACTGGAGAAAGTTTCCTCATGACGCACCACCTCGATTTCCACTACAAAATAAAATAGAGAAACAAATAAATACCGCAACAGCACAAAATATTATTAAAACATTTGATTATTTCCAATAAATCTTTATATGAGCATCTGTAATATGCACACAGTTGTTAAGTAGTGAGGCCCCTTACTGTGCAGCATCACTGCGGACTCCAACATATTTATACGTCGGTCTCTAAGCATATATTATACAGGATGTTCTGTAAGTACCTCACATGGCATTTTTGTTGTTTCGTATAAAGGACGATTCACCTGTCCCAGTATTTCTTTTTTTTCCCCCCTTGGCACTACAGCCGCAGTGGGCCTAGGCCTACCTCCATGAACTTCTCCGTTCACTTCAGTTTTTCTAGATCTTACACATTCGGTAGGACTCCTTGGGCGGGTGATCAGCTCGTCGCAAGGCCTTTACCTGTATACAAACACAGAAAAACACACACACACAAACTAAACATCCATGCCCTGAGTGGGATTCGAACCCACGATCCCGGTTTCCAAGCGAGCGAAGACAGTGCATGCCTTAGACCGCTCGGCTACCGTGACCGGCGTATTTCTTATATAGTATTTTTAAATATACAAATAATTTTGAGTTTCAAGACATGACGTGAAAGCGTATGAAGGTAACTTGGTTCATTCTGGTTCGTCACACGAGTAACAGTATAAACTAGTATTGACGCCGTCCAGTGTGATTGATAATTGTTGTGTTTTTAATCTTTCATCCGTTACATGTTTCGGTTGGAGCGACCATCTTCAGGAAATTATCAATACATATGCAAACTACTCCTATAATGTCAGTGGTCATTATCAGGGCCTGGATTTTGACATGTCATCTTTTTTCCCTTGTATCCTATGCGATGCTCTTAAATACTCAGATATGAGCTGCTGGTTACAGGAATGTAAATTTTTTAGGACATTTTTTTGTCGTTTTTTGACATTTTTAGGTTTAAGGTCATTTTTTCATTTGGGGGTATTTTTTTGGCAAATTTTTGGACTTTTAATGGTATTTCTTGTCATTTTTGGCCATTTTAGGGAATTTTTCTTCATATGTTTTCTGAAATGTGAATAACATGGAAGCGAAGTGTTCTTTCTTTTCTCCTTTAGGTCATTTTATAGGTCATTATTTAAATATTTTCAGGTCATCAAAATCCGGGCCCTGATCATTATCAATGCATAAAGACACTACAATTACAATGTCATAAATATAAAATATTATCCTTTAAAAATTACTACGATGTTCATGAATTTGTTAAAACATTTATAAATTATTATAATTAGTCTATTTACAAAGTATGGTTTAAAAAAATTGTTAAAATCTAGAACCAATTGTAATTATTAAAGGATAATTTATATTTATGACATTGTAATAGTAGTGTCTGTGTGTATTGTTAATGTCCTGAAGATGGTCGCTCCGACCGGACATGTAAACACTGAAAGGTTAAAAACACAATAATTATCAACCACACCGGACGGGGTCAATAAACTTTTATACGCATAAAGGTCACTGGATATACAATTCAGCACGAACATTCAAATAAAAATTGTCTTTACTTTTGCAGTTCGGGCATGAACTTGCCATTCCTCTTATCTACGCTGTCGTTACTTACTTACGAAATTATATACATGACCAGAAAAGAAAATCTCTCGTACTTGTGGGTTGCTGAAGAGTCTCGAGAAAATCAGTAAAATCTGTAATCAGTTTTCCGTTGGTTCTGTTTAGAATCCAGCCGAGTAAAAGTCTGAAGTGTTACCAGTAATTAATTAATTCGCTTAGTGGGGGGTGGAATCCACTTGGGTCCACTCGGCACGGCGGCCACTTATTGGCCTATTGTACCTGCCCCGGGTGATTATGATGATGGAGAATTTGGTGGAATGAAGATTGGCAGGGGTAACCGAAGTACCCGAAGAAAATCTTCCCCAGTGCCACTTTGTCCACCACAAATCCCACTTGACCAGACCCGGGTTTGAACCCGGGCCGCCGCGGTGGGAAAAGTTTTACCAGTAACAGAACTACCTCGGTCGAAGTGCGTCAAAATGTGATATATGATATCCATATACAGCCCAGTCGGAAGCTTTTTTGGTCATGGCGATGGACTCAGAATATTTTACGAATGAATACTTTTTGTTATTTCAAGTATCACATAGCAGACTGGATGGAATACGACGGCGAAGTCATTCTAGAAACGAATGATGCTTTCGACATGTTTTTTGCTTCGATAATGACGAAGCTATAGGTGAATAAAAGTACTGCCTTCTAGAATGCGAGGGCGTCTAGTCCAGTATCTCACCGACGTTTCGGAGGAACGTACTACTTCCATCATACTTATGTTTCATCTCTGCACATCTCTTGCTTAGTATATCTTTGAACTCGGAATAAAGAGGCAGTATTTACCTGCGAAACATCTACAAAACTCATGGCGTCACCTCACAGTAATTATCGTCTTTATGGTCACCAGCGTGTGTTCAAACACATCCTACAGGCCGTACAGACGAACAAAGGACCTCATATTGTGTAATTCCGATAGAGTCTGACGTTTCGAAAGAATACACCGCCGTTATTTCAGGGTCAAAGAGTAAACCACTCAAGAAGCCAGCTAAAGTTAGCGGCAAGTTTTGAGTATTTATAGAAAACGACTGTACCTACCCCTCAAGGGAGGACAGCAGTCATTAGAAGGGTACCAGGCAATGGCGGAAGGGGGGAGAGATCAATGCAATACATATGCTCGGTACCGGCTGCTGTTGTTGCCACAATTATGAGCACTGTGCTACGTCATCCCAGCTGTCCATTCCCGTCCAAATTCTGTGAAATTAAAAACAACTGCTCGCCGCCACACACAATTCGGGAGCGAGTGTCCGCATTTCACAGGCGCTCTGTTTACATCCCCACTATTCATAACCCACACGTATTCATCGCAACACCAATGGCGACAAGTAAGAGTCAATGCAAGGCACTCAAAACGGTTCAGAATACCAAATTCCTGGAATAATATTTGAACATGTTCACTGTTGCCATCTGGGGGCACGAAGTAGCGTAGTTGGTTGAGGCACTGTGCTATAATCGAGGAGGTCGCGGGATCAATTGCCGATGAGGTCACTGGATTTTTCAATTGACGTAATCCTTCCAGCATCACTATGGCCCTGGGGCTGATTCAGCCTCTAACAGAAATGAGTACCAGGAATCTTCCTGGGGCAAAGGGCGGAAGGCGCGTAAGGCTGACAAGTTCAACGCCAGTTGTGAGCCCGATTGTCTAGAAAATTTGGGATCCTTGACGTCTCACAACCCTGTGGGCCTCACTGCCCAGTTACAGGGATAGCTTCATCTTTGTCCCTATTATCGTATCAGTAACACATTTTTTTCCCTTGGCACTACAGCCCCAGTGGGCCTAGGCCTACCTCCATGAACTTCTCCGTTCACTTCGGTTTTTCTAGATCTTACACATTCGATAGGACTCCTTGGGCGGGTGATCAGCTCGTCGCAAGGCCTCTACCTGTACACAAACACAGAAAAACGCACACACACAAACTAAACATCCATGCCCTGAGTGGGATTCGAACCCACGATCCCGGTTTCCAAGCGAGTGAAGACTGTACATGCCTTAGACCGCTCGGCTACCGTGACCGGCTTCAGTAACACATCCGTGCACATAAAATCGATGGGGAAACCAACTTGGGACATTACATAACCAGTGACTCTGTGACTCGTGCACGCCACACTGTACTGTATTCTTTGGGCAATAAAATCTAGAAGGTTACTGTAGCATGGGCCTGTGGACAGCATAAGCAAAGGCAGCAGTGGATGCTGAAACGTGGTCAGAAAACATCTCATGAAATTCCCATGTCTAAAAACGGAAGGAACATGAGAAGATAAGATTAATATAGATCTTAGGGGAAAGGGCTCTCAGGAAAGGAAGTGGATGAAACTGGCTCATGATTGTGTCCAATTGCGGGCTTTCGTATTAACGGTGCTGAACCTTCAGGTTCTGCTACCAGAGTCAGTCAGTCAGTTAGTAAGATGGATCTCAGGGAAACAGGCTGAGGATGAGAGGCGGATGGAACTGGCTCAGGATCGTGTCCAGTGGCGGGGTTCGGTATTAGCGGTGCTGAACCTTGAGGTTCTGCTACCAGAGTCAGTCAGTCAGTTAGTAAGATGGATCTCAGGGAAACAGGCTGAGGATGAGAGGCGGATGGAACTGGCTCATGATTGTGTCCAATTGCGGGCTTTCGTATTAACGGTGCTGAACCTTCGGGTTCTGCTACCAGAGAGTCAGTTAATAAGATGGATCCCAGGGAAACAGGCTGTGAGGATGCGAGGTGGATGGAACTGGCTCAGGATCGTGTCCAGTGGCGGGGTTCGGTATTAGCGGTGCTGAACCTTGAGGTTCTGCTACCACAGTCAGTCAGTCAGTTACTAAGATGGATCTCAGGGAAACAGGCTGAGGATGAGAGGCGGATGAAACTGGCTCATGATTGTGTCCAATTGCGGGCTTTCGTATTAACGGTGCTGAACCTTCGGGTTCTGCTACCAGAGAGTCAGTTAATAAGATGGATCCCAGGGAAACAGGCTGTGAGGATGGGAGGTGGATGGAACTGGCTCAGGATCGTGTCCAGTGGCGGGGTTTGGTATTAGCGGTGCTGAACCTTCAGGTTCTGCTACCACAGTCAGTCAGTCAGTTAGTAAGATGGATCCCAGGGAAACAGGCTGTGAGGATGGGAGGTGGATGGAACTGGCTCAGGATCGTGTCCAGTGGCGGGGTTTGGTATTAGCGGTGCTGAACCTTGAGGTTCTGCTACCACAGTCAGTCAGTCAGTTACTAAGATGGATCTCAGGGAAACAGGCTGAGGATGAGAGGCGGATGGAACTGGCTCAGGATCGTGTCCAGTGGCGGGCTTTGGTATTAGCGGCGATCAACCTTCGGTTCTGTTACCAGAGACTTAACTAAGCTCATGTTTATGTAACACGACAGACAACATTCTTGTATAACAACTAAAAAAGCATGATAAA